ATTTTCAGCATCATTCCTCCAGTCTTCAGTGTCACATGATCTTCAGAAATCAGTATAATATGCTGATTTGCTGCTCTAGAAACATTTCTGATTATTATCAATGTTAAAAACTGTTATGAAAATACATACCTCATAAAAATCCCACACAGTGTATGGTAACGCTCTTCCTGGAGGATTGTGTGTCTCTCTTTTTCCATTTGTGTAGCTCGTCACATCCAGATTCACTGCATACTGCACGTCCTCCTGAACATAACACTGAACATTATTACATCTGACTGCAACATTAGATACATTCATTCCTTCTAAATGAAAGAAAAATACTGCTCACGTTTCTTAAGATGTGGTCAAACTCAGCCGTCGAAAAGAGTCCTTTGTAATAGTCTGGATTCTGTCGTTGGATCAGAATGGGTTTCTTCTCCCAATTATCTCTATAATGTGGAGAGAACAAGACCTGTCAATCATCTCTGATCCAAAGCGACTTCTAGTACACTTTGTGGATGAAATATTATATAAATATATATGACCCAGGAGCACAAAAGCAGTGTTAAGTCGCTGGGGTATATTCGTAGCAATAGCCAACACTACATTGCATGGCTCAAAATGATCAATTTTTCTTTTATGCCAAAAATCATTAGGATAGTAAGTAAAGATCATGTTCCTTGAAGATATTTTGTACATTTCCAACCATAAATATATCAAAACTTCATTTTTGATTAGTAATATGCATTGCTAAGAACTTCATTTGAACAACTTTAAAGATGATTTTCTCAATATTTAGATTTTTTTTTTGCACCCTCAGATTCCAGATTTTCAAATAGTTATATCTCAGCCAAATATTGTCCAATCCTTACAAATGGAAAGCTTATTTATTCAGCTTTCAGATGATGTATACATCTCAATTTTAAAAAACTGACCCTTATGACTTGTTTTGTGCTCCAGGGTCACATATTATATATATCCTGCGAATTATTCAACAGTTCCATGTTGATTCAACTCTATGGAAGCCCTTTTCCAGCACAGAAAAACTCAATTAAAAAAGGTAATTGTGACTCTTATCACAAATGAGACTTTTTTTGACTTTCTTTTTCCTCTGATTGCGAGATATAAACGTGCAAAATCAAGAGAAGGAAAGTCAAGAAGATATGAACTCAGATTTCGGGACTTTTTTCTCAGAAATCGGAGTTTACGTCTCGCAATTCTGTTTTTATGTTTAACTCAAAATTCAAGTTTTTATCTCACAGTTCAGTTCAGACATTCCTTCTCAGAATTCTCCGTTTATATCTGAGAAGAAAAGTCAGAAGTTAAGTCGGACATAAACTGAAGCAATTCTGACATTTTCCTCAGAACTGTGAGTTTGTATCCCGCAGTTCTGAATTTGTTTCTCAGAATTGTGAGATAGAGAGTTGCAGCTACCTTTTAAATTGTTTGACCCACGGCAGAATCAAGCTTCCATACAATTCAGTTCAAAAACATTGATGTGTCGATGTTACAAAACTCATCAAATGAAATGTCACTGTAATTGTGTGTGTTTGCGCTCTCACACCTGAAGAAGCTCTTGTCTTGGACTGGGTGAAGAAGCCACTGGAACAGTCTGTTGGCTCTATCTCTGCTGTTGTTGACCTTCGTCAGATCCGTCAGGAGCGCATCAAGAGCTGGACTCTCAAACCCTTCACCATTATGTGTCTCACAGTCCTTCTCCTGGAAAAACAGAAGATCATGAGCTTCACATCTCCAGTATCTGGCATCATACGCTCAGACACTTACGGCCTTTGATTTCTCCTTCTCACTGCTGCTGAGCCTCATGCTGGACTTCAGAGCTCTCATTCTTTTCTTTTTATTGGGTTTCTTGTTTGGTTGGATGCCATTCTCCTTCCTTTTGGTTTTCTTCGCTGGCGGAGACTTAGCCTGCAAGGCAAAAGTCATGCAATTACTTTTACAGCTCCTACAAAAAATGGTGGTAATTTCAGATGGTAATACCATGGTATTTTTAACACAGGGGTTTTCAATCCCAGATCCATCCTGGTGCGAGGGCCCACATGCTAAAAGGCAACAATATATTTTCACGAATAAAGACCACATTTGTACAGTGACTGCACAGATGTGTAATAATATTTTACGTGTATTTATAAAATACACGTAAAATATTATTCAGAATATATTTATTTTTTAATACAACATAGTTGCACTGTTATATATCTTTAAATCAGTTACTTATTTATTTTATTCAAAATCTGTATTTAGTTGGCTTAATCTTATTTTTAGTTTATACATTTTTTTTTTTACACTGTTTGACTAACATTTTTCACACTCCCCGGTTTGAAACCCCCTGCTAATATTGAGTAACAACTGTTTTAAAGGAGTCATATGATGTTGCTAAAAAGAACATTATTTGGTGTATTTGGTGTAATGAAATGTGTTTATGCGGTTTAAGGTTAAAAAAACACATTATTTTCCACATACTCTACATTATTGTTTCTCCTCTATGCCCCGCCTTTCTGAAACACGTCGATTTTTACAAAGCTCATCGGTCTGAAAAG